TGGAATTCAAGTTATAAGGTTTTGAATTAATCAAATTCAAAATTTTGAGTTTGATATTAAAAATTTGGGATTGATCTGAAATAGGGGGACTGATTTCAAATTTTTTGAATATTCTTTTGAATTGTAACTTAATTTAATTTTATTGTAATTTTGAAAAAAGTAAGAGAAATTGATTTTCAACACCAAAAATTCCAAGTAAGATACATGTCCGACATACAAGCATGTATATAAACTCCAAGAGAAACTCAATTGGTAACAGAGATGAACTGTAAATTTAAACGTTTTGAGTTTGAATCTTAACAATACATTAGAATAAGACTATGAAGGATTTATCTCTCGTAAATATCCTAATCTCGACGTGTGTAAACTAATTTGGACACCCCTGACAATTAAACCAAAATGTACACACAGAGACTGGTCACGTGTGGGCTGGTCAAAATTAACATAAGAAGATTGGCTGATGCCTGCACAATTTTTTTTTGGCTCAATAGTCGAGGGTATTTGGGCTATCTTATGCGTATTTCAATTAATCTCTTCTCTGATCTGGTTGAAAGCAGTTTATCCACATTAGAACTAGGGTATTCATAATAAATAAATTTCGCATAACCTAATTTGAAGAGATTTTTAAAATTTAAATTTAAAATATCTAAATTTATAATCCTTATTTATTTGGTTACACAAAGTTAAACAATAATGAATCCACATGGGACTGATGGTCGGCCCTTGATTTTATGTCGAATGATCTCCAAATGTTAATAAAAAATAATAAAATAAAAAAGTATAAACGTGACGCGTTTTTGTTGTCAAAAAATAAAAAGTATATAGGGTACGAAAAAAGTGCATTTTCATTATCTTAACACTCTCCACTATTCAATCCTTGAGTGACATATATGTATGATAGGCACACAATCATGGGGTTGGGTTATCATCTTTTTTACCATTGCTGCCCTTCGAGATTAAGGAATGACATTTCAAAGTGTACTTTTCTTCTAAAGTACTAAGGTTTGAACTTGATTATCGCAGTAAAAAAATAATTTCGGTATTGTACTTTTAACTTTTATTATATTAATGTGTATTTTAATAATTTTTGTGAGTTATTTTATAATATAAAAATTTATTATTTTTTTTTGGTGATTTATTATTTTTGTAAATATATTTACCACTATTGTGAATATTTTTAGTATATTTGTGGTAACTTTTTTTTTCATTTTTCTTTGGTACAAAAAAATTATCACATTTATGAATGTTTTTATCATATTTATGAATATTTTTATTACTATTGTAATAATTATTTTTACCATTTTTTGGGTACTACAAGTGATAAAATGACCCACAAATGTGGTAAAAGTAACCACAATATTGATAAATAGAGGTATGATACCAAAAAATATATTTTTCGATATCGTGGTCAACTCCAAAGAATTAAGAAGAGTAAACTATATGTATAACCCTTAAATTATAATTTTTGTGTCAATTAAGTTCCTTAATTTTTGTGTGTTAATTGAGTCACTGAGTTCTCTAATTATGTCAATTGAGTCTTTTTGTCTGCCTTATAACGGAAAGTGACAAATTGCATCACTCACGTGACACAAATAGTTATAATAAACTACATATATGACCTTCAAACTATAGTTGTAGTTGACAATTCCTTGCAAGGCCTTTCATTTCAAGGGAAAGGCTACGGTACCGAATAAAAAAAATGTGATATCGTACCGTCACTTATTATTTTTATGATAAAATTATAACTTTAAAAGAAAAAAATTACAACTACTCAAGGAGACCATGATCAACCACATATACACATAATCGATCATATATTTCTCTTAAACAGTTGTAACTTCTCCCCTATAAGTTAAAACTTGACCCTTAAAAATTGTAACTTAACCTTTGACAGTTGTAATTTCGGTATCAATCACAATGTATCATGACCTTTAAAGAGTATAACTTACACCTTAAAAAAATTATACATTAACTTTAAAATGTGGTAAATTTCGGCACGATACCTCGTTTAGTACACCGTAACCTTTCCCTCATTTCAATATCAAAATTTTCATTGTACTTTCACTCAAGTTTAGACAATAATAGATCACTTATTCTATATTTAAATGGGTTTCACTATTTATAAGTGGATCTTTCGAGTATCTACGGTGAATGATCTAATAGAGTGAAATTGAATAAAATATAATGATGACGACTTGCATTTGAAATTATTTAGTATACTAGTTTAGTTATAAAAGATTTTGGTATTATTAACCGGACAAACTTAATTAATATATGTGTTGACACAAACATGTTTGTACACTACTTCAATCTCACTATTTGTAATTACATCCAACTTACTTAAATGAGACACAAATCAGATTATTGAAGTGTACAAAGAGATTAGACATACTCGACATAACACAACACATTAGCGACTGTGCGAACATCTAATTTTAATATTATTGCATTGTGCATATATTGGACTTCTATTGTTCTCGGATTGCTAACACAGGTAGAGAAAAGAAGACAGTGGCAGTCTAGGTGCTTGTGTTTGGTAAATAAAGAGATGACAAAACCTAGAAGTGCACGACTCCAATGACATCATTGAGAAGATGGTAAATATAGTGCCTCTATGCTAGTGTTTCAGACTGCTACATGGAACCAACAAAGTTGAGGAACCCAAACCCAATGAAAACCTCTATCTGTTCAAGTGCTAGTCTTTGAAACTCTCTTGGGGGTCTCCAGAGAAAACCAACCAGCTTGTGTGGCCAATGGTCTTTCAGTCTCTCTCCTCAGTTAGGCAATTTGGCAAACATGCAGCATGCTTGACGGTCCCAGAGTTTTTGTTTCTTGGACAGGAGAAAATATTTAGTGCTTATAAGTCACTAGGTGATAATGTCAAGTGGTTCTTACTAAGATCGGCCCGACCACAAGATTAAGCCCCACGTTCAAAGTCCATCCTGAATTGGGATAAAAGACCATTGACCAAAATATTTTGTGTAAAAGTCCATCCTGAATTTAGAAGATTAATATACCCCTCATTTAATTGGTATGAAGTTTGCCACTTATATTAGAAAACCGTCAACCATATCTATGTTTTTTAATTCTAAAAATTTTCACGTCTTCACCTAACACGGCCAACATTTGCACGATTCAAAGAAACGATATTAAATTAAAAAAAAAAATTCTCCATCGATTTCGTTCACTCAAAAATTGTGGCTTTGATTCATATATTTGGAAAAAAAATCATTTGCTCTGTGCAGCAGTATGAAGCAACAGTATGAATGTTCGAAATTAGCCGATTTTGTTTTTTATCAATTGTCACTGACTTCCTTCTGCCAACATCAACGGAAGACATGAGATTAGTATGCCTATTGTCTCTGGAAATAGAATTGAATTATAAATATTATTGTTGAATTATTAAAACCCCCAAAACTTATGAGATAAAACCCTTAATATAAAAATTCTATGTTAAATAGGTTCTACAGTGTGACATCAACATATTATGAATGTAAGAGTGTGACAATAGGGTGTGACATCAATGTCTAATTGCATATACGCAACATATTATGCTTGACACAGTGTGACGTCAAGGTAGTTGGCTTTGACACTACATTGGTCACATTGTGTTACAACGTTGTATAATTGTTTACACACATAAAATGCTCTGCTTCACACAGTGTCATATTATATCTAGTTGGCCTGGACACCACTCTTCTTGTCACACTGTTTAAAAGAACAAGTCGTTTATATATATATATCCAAAATTAAAGTGAAGAAAAAAAAAAATCAGATGTTCAATTATAACACCAGTCGTTGAAATAGAAGAAGAAGATCTACGTTTAAAATTCAAATATCCTTATCTATTAAATAGAAAACTGTTGATACAATAGAATAAATCCCACGAAAAATAGAACACAAATTAAATAGTTTATGAATTATGGAAAAATGGTATTTTAGTAAAGGAAAATATTTCAAAAGCTGCAAATGTGTATTTAGACATAAGATATTGCCAATTAAGAGTATTTATCTACAATAGAGTTTTAACAAGATATTTTCTTACAAATAAGTAATTTATAAGGTACTTATTCACAATTTTTTGTTCAAATACAAAATTTTTAAATCCATACAATTTTAGGCCAGGTCAACCATTCTCTCTCTCCAAAATACAAAATTTAAAAAATCTCAAACATATATCTTATCCCTCTCCCACGAAAAAATATTGGGAGAAACCGTTGCACCATGTCAGTAGTGTCACGTGGTATAACGATCTACTAATAGATAAACATATCAATAAATGGACCCATTAAAACTCATAACCACTCAGTCATGTCATATATAACCATCTTTAAGATATAAAGTGGGTCATACATTACTCTTTATTCTTTTCTTAGTAGATGTTTACACCCAATATTTACTCCTCTCTCACACCCCTCCGCCCCCCTCTCTCTCCACCCCCTATGGTAAACTAATGTTCATTTTTTATCTATAATATAAATCAAAGTAGATTTCAATAAATTTATCCAATAATTATAAATAGATTCATCTAAAGACTACCAATGTACCTCTCAAAATTATTCATATTATACCATGTCTGTTACCCCTAGTATTAATATAAACAAAGCAGATAAAGTTGATGATTTCCCTTCAATATTAATTAGCATCTCTATATATATATATAGAGAAGTCTCCCACATTAATCCAAAACCAAAGGCTCCCACAACTTAATAACCCATGAACTAAATTAAACAAATCCATTCGGACATTGATCTAATTAATAAAAATATTCAAAAAATATTTGTCCTATAATTACAAAAATTTTAAAATATTAATTCGACAATCGAAATCTTATACAAAATCGTGTAAAGAATCTTTACCACTCGATCTACACGCACTAGAACAATTCAAATAAACCAAGGAATAACTATTCAATAATTCAAATTGACCCCAACAAATACGGTGAAAGACAATATATATCCCAAGAAAAAGGAAAATTCAGGACTTCAAAAATAAATTCTTCAAGAAAGAGATGGAAATCGGCTGCACCTCTTGGAAAGAAAAACTTTGCAATCGTCTTTAGGACAAATCGTGGGAACATACGTAATATCATCACAACCTTCCGTTCGGTGCCTCTTAAAATCAATCAACGACGTGAACATGGCGATGAAGAGCACCAAGTGATTGATCGCGTACCTCTGTCCGACACACTGATGGGCCCCAGCTCCGAACGCCAGAAAGTTCTTCTTATGAACTCGGTCCTCCTGCCTCTCCACCATGAACCGATCCGGGTCAAACCGGTACGGTTCAACGAACCCCTGAAATGAACTCTCAAAAACCGACGGAAAAACGATTGTCCCCTTGGGAACTCTGTAATTTTCCGTCAATTGGAAGTCTTCTCCGGCAATATGTGGCACCAAAGTTGCCGGAGCTCGGAACCTCACCACCTCCTTCGCCACTGCTTCTGTGAACCGCATTTCTCTGAGCTGTTCGGCGGTGATGGGTGTGTCAGACTCTGGCGACCAGACACCGGCCACCTCTTCACGCACTCTCGCTAAGACCTCTGGATGTGAATCCAAAAGGGTCACTGCCCAGAGGAGAGAGGAAGTGGAAGCGTCCTGGGCAGCGAAGAGAAAATCAAACAAATGGCCGCCGATTTCTTCACTGCCGGAGTGAAGTGGATCTCCGTCACCGGCGTGTTTGGCAGCTTCAATTTCTCTGATGTGCTCTTGCATCCAAAAATCTATCAAACAGGTTGGGTCATAGCCTTCATTCATTCTTGTTTTGCTTTCCTCTGAGCATTTTGCTAGTGTTTGAACAAGCCTTTTCACAGCGAGCCCGGCATTTCTGAAAGCAAATCCAGGCAAATCAATTGGGAGTTTCATTAATCCAACGTTGAAAAAATTGTAATCTTCATTGAATTTTTGTCTCGATTCTTTGCTTAAATAAGGACCAACCATCACTGTTTGAGAGGTTTCTAGATTCATATCTCGACAGAGAAATCTCAGAGGCATTGGTTCAGTTGGGGAAGAAGAAGAAGATTGAACCCATGATTTCAAGTGCTTGAGAATGATGGTTTGTTGGATGGAACTGTAAGTGGAAAGAGCTTTGGGGGTGAAATTTGGGGCGATTTGGCGACGGAGGTCTTTGTGCTCTTGATCGAACATGTAGATGAGGTTGTGTTCGCCGAAGAGTTTTTTGCCGAATGGGTGGCCGACGAGGTGGAAGGCGTCGGGTCTGACATTGGCGAAGACCTTCTGGGAGAGGTCGGAGGAGGGAATGAAGAGGATGAATCGGCCGATGATGTAGTCGGCGGAGAAACCAGCGTCGGAGGACTTGGCTGTGGCGGATTGGAGTTCCCAGAATTTTGTTGGGTTGCGGACTAATGAAATTGCGTTTCCGATGAATGGGAGGACTAGAGTTGGGCCTGGGATGTGCCTTTTCTTCTTCAAGTAAGAAATCTGTTCCAGTAGTAAGAAAGCTAGGAGAGACAGAAGGTATGGGGTGGACAGTGAGAGAATGGCCCAAATGGATTCCATTGTTTCTCTCCCTCTCTCTCTTCCTCTGTTGGGTGAAGAGTTGGGGATGGACTAAGGGATTACAGAGAGAGACGAGAATGGGGAAGGGGGATTGAGACATATAACAGTGGAGAGGCTGGTCAAACGAGGAATGGCGGCATTTTTGGGTCAATATAAGCATATGGTGGTTAGAAATGAGAGAGTGATAGATAGAACGTTTGGAGTTTGAGACCAAATTTGAAAGTACAACAAAGTCCATATAGGTATCTACTTAATATTATAAAATTAAACTGTTTTGTTGGTTCAACCGTCGTTGGTGTCCGGTTCAGGTTAAAGTATATTTAGACTAATTCTTTTTTCAATTTGATTCACTCCAGTCCGGTAAAAAATGAGACATTAATATCGGCACAAGACTATTTTTGATAAATAAATCTCTTATAATTTTCTTAAGGGATTATAAATATTGTTTGAATTTATAGTTCGTCTCTGTTATTATTCAAGTTACTTCTTAGTATAAAATTTATTTCAATCGAATTAAATAGTATAAAATTTATTTCAAAATTCGTTTTTTGCTCAAAAATATTATCTTTTTGCACGGCCCTCAATATTAGACAATTCAACTAATACACTTTCTAATGTCAAACAACAAAATTAATCCACACTAGGAGTGTCAAACGTATCGAGTTAAATAGTTACGTGTCGGGTTAAATGAGTAACGAGTAAAAAACATATAAACCCGTATATGACACGTTTGATAAACGGATAAAAAATCTCAACACGAACATAACGTGTTTAATAAACGAGTAACACAACAAGACTCATTTAACCCGTTTAATTTAAAAAAAAAATTATATCAATAAATTTTAATATTCTATTTTTTTTACTGTCAACTATATTTATCTAAAAAAAGAGGAATTTTCTAATCAAATTTGACATAAAAAATCAAATTTGAAGGCTAAAAAACGGAGCAAGAGGCCACTGCTTTTTCATCTCCCCTCATATGACAATGTAGGACAAAACAAAAAAAAGGTTGATTTACCTTTGTCATAAACTACTCCCCATCTCCCCTCATTTGTTGAACTATTACTTTATTTTTATTTTTTTTGTATTGATTTATTTACTTTTTTTTTTATGGTTAATTTTTTAAAATAATTATTAATTTATTATTATATTAATTCTATTTAAACTGATAAATGTGTGATAAACAGTTTGACAGGTCTCACCCGAACACGACTTGTTTATTAAACATGTCTAACGGGTCAACCCGTTTAACACCCAAAACCGTTAAAATTTCATACAAATCCGTTTAATTCGTATTGATTCGTTTTATTTAATCGTGTCATATTGAATTTTGACAGGCATAATCCACACATACTTCTCCCTTTTCTCTCTCCTATTTTTTTCTTTTCGTAGTTTTAATTCATGCTATTTAATACAAAAATATATCTACACAATATTTTTTCTATAAGAAAAAACCTTTAAAATGTGGTTTGAGGAAAAAAAAATTAGTTTGGAAGTCGAGATTGACATTGAAATTATAGTAAATTATGAAGTCGGCTGTTGTAAGACTTGTCTATTTGTCTTTTTTATTGTACAGCTTAAGCCATCAAATGAAGCAAATTTAAGAAAATTTTCTAACATTGATGACATGAATTATCGGAAATTGTGGAAATATATTGAAAATTTCTGAACTTTTAATATTCCATTTGAAATATTGCAATAAAAGATTGAGTAATGCTACTTTTAGAAAAATTTCTAAATAATTTTTTGGGTAAATTTTATTAACTCCCCTGAAAAATAGCCTAATTACAGAGACACCCCTATAGTTTTCAAAACACCACTGACAATCCCTATCAATTTTTGTTGGTAATGGAATGGAGTAATGGACGTAAATTATACTTTTACACAATTACCCATAATAGAGATGAACATTCGCCCACTTATCCTTCATTTTACACACACGTCTCTTTTCTCCTTTCCAGGACACCACCCACCAGCCTATCCTCCCTCTCTCTCTCCCCCTCTCAACATTACTGATTCTGATACGAGGCTTGTTGGTATGGTTATGATCGAGATGTGAAGGGTGTTTCAAATAGTGAGGAAGAAGGGTTTTGTAGTGTATGATTGTTGGGGCAAGTGACGCAAGAGTGATATTTGGGGGTGGTGGCGCAGCGGTACGAGGTGGTCGCAATGTGTGATAGAGACGAAAACATAGACCGAGACGCTTCGGATAAGGGCAAAACCACTGCCTACTCCAATTGCAATTCTTTCCCACCAGTGGGTTCGTGTTTCAATTGCAATTTTTACTACGAAATCAAGATGCAAAATCAAAAACCAAATTGATTTTGAGTTTGTTTTTGGAATCGGAATTAAAATCCACTTTCAAATAGGGTTAATCGTAAATTACACTTCGAAAGATTGTTTAAATTTTAATTTATACTCTCAAAAATCAAAATTTCAATTTGTATTCTCAAAGATAAAAATTTATATCAATATGCACATAAAACTAACAGTTGTCACTTTGCTGTCTAAAACTAAATAGATAAATTATACCTAAACCCCTCATATTTATCACTTAATCACCTAAATCCCTTACATTTAAAATATTATACCTACATTCCCTGAGAATTCAAATATGATTAAAAATGTTCTTCTAATTGGACATCCAAATAATTTTATTTAAATGATGTATTGTATTAGATATAAAAAATATTATATAAATACTTGCATTTATATTAGACATTCAAATGATAAGCTTAATTTTAAATTTTATAATATAATGGACCCACAAGATAAATGATAGTATAAAAATTATAATTTTTTATTAAGATGAAATCATGTTTTTTAACAGTTCTACTAACAGATATTAACGACAAAGAGTTATATGTTACATGTGAACAAACGTAAGGAGGTATAAGAGTAATATTCTAAATGGGAGGGGTCCAAATGATTAAGTAATGAACTTGATGGGTCTAGGTGTAACTTATTTTACTAGTTTTAGATGACAAACTGACGGTTACTAGTTTTAGATGCATATTGATACAAATTTATATCTTTGAGGGTATAAATTAAAATTTTTAATTTTTGAAGATGTAAATTAAGATTCTAACAATTTTTCGGAGTGAAATTTATGATTAACTCTTTCGAGTATTGTGGAGGGTTTAATGCTTTTTGGGTGCTATGGATTTTTGATGATTTTTCGGTGCCTTGTGTTTTGAGTTTGTTGCTATTTTTTGTCCATTTGAGAGAGAGAGAGAGAGAGAGAGAGAGAGAGAGAGCTATGTTGGTTCATCTTCTTCAAGAAAAATATTTGTTGAACGCAAAAGAAGAAACACAGTAGTCTTACCTATGAAGCTGACATTGTTATCCCCAAGACCAAGGTTTGATTTAGAAATTCCTCAAATTCCAAGTATACATCATCAATTTTGATTATATCACTAGAAAGTCTTTGATCAATTGTGTGCTTTTTCTTGTGCCAATGATCAGGTAGTTCTTGTGCATTCTATATCAAGGGCAATAATACATGTACTACATGTAGCTTCCAAGTTTTTACCTTTTCATACATTGAAGAGAATACAATCAATGAAGAATGGTTTTCTTATGGTTTCATTTTTTTCTTTTGATTTTTTATTAAGGGGGCAAAATTTGTATCAGATGTGAAAATTATGATGCCATCAAAGACATGTCATATTGACAGTAACACTTTTAATAGCAAGGGAATGTATATATTACAAAGGCGTGCAATGATATTTCAAAAATTATAGAAAATATCCCTGTAATTAGGCAATTTTTATGGTTTATTATTGAAATTTACCCTAATTTTTTCTTATCAACCCATGTGAATAATTGGGTTATAAACTCCACTAAATATCCAAGAATTATGGTTGTGCCACGCTAGTTGGTAAAAATAACTGATAACACAAGTTAGTCAAAGTAGACATTTACTAACGTTGTTATTGAACAAGGTTACTTACTCTGTAATTTAGCAGAAAAGTTTTAAAATGTTAAATAAATATATTTCAAAGTAATGGTATTTTGACAAATTAATTCCTGCCCGGGGTGTTGGGGGGAGGGGGTGGTGGGGCAATACAACGGTGATACCATGTCAGTATTAATGATATGATATTATTAATCAATAATAAAATTTCGAACGAACAAAGTAAACCTTACTTGAATAGTTATTGTGTTATAGAAAACAAGGGTGGAGCTAGGAAATTGTTTCAGGATGGGCACTGTATATTTTAACAAGCTTAATTTTTTTTTCTTGTAATTGATAAAAATAGAATAATGCATTTATATTTAATTATATTCTATTTTATTCTTAAAAGTTCATTAAACTTAAAAGACTAAAATTGCTTAGTATATTAGATACAAATGAAAAACAAATATATATTCTTTTACGTTAATCAAAACTATTTAGAATTAATTTTGATAAATTTTTATAAATTAAAATTATTGAATTAACTTTATTATTATTTATATCTACAATCATATTATCAATTGACTATTTATCATTAATTCGATTAAATAATAAAATATATTATATATCATGTTGGTGCTAATTACTAAAATAAATATTAAAATTATAAGTAAACTCATGGATATATCATGTATTTTCTGGTCTTGATTAAAAAAAAGGGTGGGCACAATTTAATATATTAAAAAAAATACTTAAAATATATACAAATAATTCTTTTTTAAAACATTGAGGATGGGCACGTGCCCCTCCTGTGCATAAGGTGGCTCCGCCCTTGATAGAAAAGAAGAGTGAGTAATTATCTATAATTTATAATATAAAATATAAAATATTTTAATAAGTTTATTCGATAGTTCCAAATAGATGTATTCAACGGCCATAAAAAAAAATTCATTATTTTCAATTATGATACATTGTATTTTCAAACCTGAGTTATCCTTAATTTATTTACGTGAACAAATATTTATTAATTTGTACGAAGTCGACTCCCTTATTTGAAATGGATATATTTTCGGTGCGGACGTGGGGAGGACATTTTAAAGAA